TTCCTTTCCTTTCCTTTCCTTTCCTTTCCTTTCCTTTCCTTTCCTTTCCTTTCCTTTCCTTTCCTTTCCTTTCCTACTTGAAATACTTTGAAGATAGGACACACACAGAGACAAAAAAAATTCCTGTCAGGCCAATAACTTCCAAGCCAATGTATTACAACAGATCTCTCTCTCTCTCTCTCTCTCTCTCCCTCCCTCCCTCCCTCCCACACACACACACACACCCAGGCAGAAAGTACATGGATACTGCCAGATGATTGCAATGATGGATTGGACTTCTACAATGATTGCTTTCACCATCAAGATAAAGCCACAATCAACAATTAAAAACAAACACAAAAAAATCCAAAAACACAACAGAGCTTTAAGAAAAATGAACCCTCTCTTTATGCCACAATCTCAGCAGGGCAAAATGAGGTGTCATCCAAGGCTCACAAAAAAAAGTGACATCATAATTGAACAATTTGCCAAAGACAGGGCACTTGTCATCATGAATAACATGAATTATATGAGGGAAGTTGAGAAGCAATTCTTCAACATCATCTTCATCCAACTTCTCTCCTTAGTTCCCACAACAACTTAACACCTAGGCTTTCATGCCTAATGGAGAACCAGAATTCATGGTTTCCCAGTTTCTGGCCCAGCAGTTTCCCCAGTACACCTAAGTGGCTCTCAAATTTTCAGATTTGAGGTAGAGGGATATTAGTATGGATTTTCCTCTACATTAAAAAAATGCTTCTGGAGAATATTGTGAAGGCTTTTGGTTCTTTTTTTGGCAGGGGTGTTACATAGCTCATGGGTTACAGGACTCGAACCTTTCATTTTGAAATTAGTGCACATTATATTAAAACCCGATTTTCACACAGCATTGTCTTCTTGATTAGCTACTCCTTTCTACTCTGATTGGAGTTCAAAATTATTATCTAACATTTCAAACAAAAGATGAGGATCAGTTCTCCAGGTTCTGAAGTGAACTTGGAAGAGATTGTCAGAGCTACTGCCTTGTATGTCACCTTGATGTGCTGATATGAGGAAAGAATACAGAACCTCAAACTGCAAGAAACCAACCAAATGGGCTTTATTCAGGGGGTCTGGTATAAAAATCACTTTCATTTCTTTATTAGTTGCTCCTTCCTATTCAGATCAGGTCTCAGAATAATGATATAACATTTGGGGGAAAAGATGCAGCCCAGTAATCCAGCTGCTGAAGCCAAAATGGAAAAGATCTCCACTGCGACCATGTACTTCCCCTTGCTGCTCAGATAGGTGGGAACAAATGACACCCAAACACTGCAAAAGACCAACATGCTGAAGGTGATAAATTTGGCTTCGTTGAAGCTGTCAGGTAAATTCCTAGCTAGGAAGGCCACAGTGAAGCTGACAGCAGTCAAGAACCCCATAAAGCCAAGGACAACACAAAACATTGTGGTTGAACCTTCATTACATTGTAGGACAATTTCTTCAGCTATAGAGTGCATGTCAGAATCTGGGAATGGGGGAGAAATTGCCAGCCACACTACACAATTGAAGAATTGTGCCAGGGAGCAAGATAGGACAATAGAAATCGCCAGCCTTTTCCCCACCCACTTCCTCATTTGGGAGCCTGGCTTGGTGGCCATGAAAGCAAGAACCACAATGGTGGTTTTCCCCAAGATACAAGAAAGAGCTACAGAGAAGATGATGCCAAAAGCCGTTTGTTGCAAGAGACATTTCCCTTGGTCAGGTTGCCCAATGAAGAGAAAAGTGCAAAGGAAGGAGAGCAGGAGAGCAATGAGAAGAGTGTAGGTGAGGTCCCTGTTGTTGGCTTTGACAATGGGTGTGTCCTGGTGTTTAATGAAGATCGCCAGCACCAGAGCTGAGATGAAAGAAAAGGACACTGCGATCACTACCAAAAAAATCCCCAAAGGCTCCTGATAAGTCAAGTAAGTTATGCTTTTTGGAAGGCAACCATCCCGATCCTTGTTTGAATATTGATCTTCTGGACATGGGAAACAATCATCTAAGTCTGGAAAGAAAGAAACAGGCAACAAAACCTTTAAAAAAAACACTATTATTTTGAAGCAACGTCAGTTCCATTTTTATGAGATAACCACAATGGAAAATTATGAAACAATTCAAAGGTGAGAAATCTATTGATCCTCCTAGTTAGAGTCAACTGATTCATTTTATCATCTAATATCTTACTGAACTATGAACAATTAGTTCAAATAATTCATTGCCGACCTGTATAATATGATGTAAAGTTCAAGATTTTAAGTCACCATAATATCGATTAAAAGTTTAGCCCCCATTTATATTTATTTGATCATTGGTATATTCAGTATATTCCTTCGCTTACCCATCTGGTCAGCTATCTTCCCTTCTGGACACAGTCTACAGTCATAGCAGCAAGATAATTTCCCTTCCACTTTTATCTTGCTATGGCCCAAAGGACATTTCTTGTTACAGATGGAAAGAGGTAATGTCTGTTAATAAATCAAATTGAAATTTTTTCACATGAAGAATTTATGTTTTGGGATTGTTCTTTTTATCGCTTATATATACCCAAACTCTTCATATCTAATCCAAACCTTGGTGCATGATTTTTCAGTTTTCTTTCTGGTTTAAGTTCTCCACTGAATTCCTCGACTCTTCCTTATCTCACACAAATTATACTAATGGTCTGATCATGCCTAACATAGCATCCTAAAGATCTGTTCTGAGGAAATCAGTTCCAGAGTCTGACCACAGACTCAAGAATTTAGTGGGTATGATTCTCTGAAATTATAAGGCTGAACTGGGATATAATGTTCATTCTAAAATTCTGTCTTAGAAATGGAGAAACAGGTAAGAAAGAAGTTTTTTGTGTCATATTCCTTTCCTCATTGATTACTTTGTTTTATTTTTAGGAAAAAAATGCCTTCCCCCTCTCCTTTAATGAATTTTATAGATAGGGTGCAATCATATTTGAAACGTTGCCACACTTTGATTAGATAGATAGATGATTGATTGATTGATTGAGAGAGAGAGAGAGAGAGAGAGAGAGAGAGATCGAATCTGCCACAGAAAGTCTTTGCTTTTGAATCATATATTTCAATATAATTTGATATATATTTTCAATATATTTGAAACATATTTGATAAACAGAGTTTCTGCAAGCTATTTCTGGAAACCCATTTGAATTCTGGATAGTACGCAATCATATTACTCCACATGGATTAGCGGAACTAGTTAGCTAGTTAGACAGATAGAATCTCCAGCAGAAACCCGTTGTTTTTGGAATATATTCCAGGACGTGGTGGAGTAGGGTCTTAATGACACTGGAGTTTGCTGGCGAGAAATGGTTGGCACTCGGTTCGATCCCAGCTCCGCGTGTCAGGGTGAGCTCCAGTCATTCGTCCCTAGCTGCTGCCATCCTAGCAGTTCGAAAGCATACCATCCAAGAGTAGATAAATAGGTACTCCCATTTCAGTGGGAGGAAACACTGGCAGCGCTTTGTTCGGGGAAGCAGGAACCAGTGCTGGATCCGATCGGCAGAAAAAAGCCAGACGCTGGATGCGACTGACGCAATGGGTGGGAAAAGATCATTGGTGGAAGAAAGCCCAGATGAGCTAACTCCTTGTGACCCTGCTGGCCACAATAGAGTAGGGCTGTAATTGTAATAGAGTAGACTTGTAATTGTAATTGTAACTGTAACTGTTAGATGTTGTACTATGTGACCCACCCAGAGTCCCCATTAGGGGAGATGGGTAGAGATAAATCCAATGTAGTAGTAATAATAATAATAACTACATAGTTTCTGCTCATTATTTCATCTATTTCAGAGGAGGCTCTTAAAAATTTAACTCTAAGGAGATGAACTCATGAACCATGTATATGCCATTTTTTAAAATATTTCCATTCTGTTTCAATAAACTGTTTCTGTTAAGGTATATACTTTTCTAGAGTGTCATTATTTTACTAATGAAGTCAGAAAAACATCTTGCATATTATTTACCTATTTTATTTGTCTATTTAACAAATATATATGGCTGCCCAATTCATATACAGTGACCCTGGGTGCCTTACAAAGTAAAACCCCGAAAAAAAAAAAAAACATCGACACCCATTCCCTACGGCAGCCAAAAACACAATCAACACAACCACTTGATGGGCTGCTTTTCAGCTTGGGGTTGCATCTTCAGGGCCTTCTAGAACAAGATCAAGGTGGGGGCCAATCTTCACTGAGAGGGAATAACATTCCACAAGGAGGGAGCCACAACAAAAAGGGCCCTTCTTCGTGATCCCATCAGATGTACTTCCTTCAGTGATGGGACCTGCAACATACCCAGCCTCCCCACTCTGGTGGGCTGGGTAGATGTAACTGGGGAAAGATGATTCTGCAGATAACCAGGCCCCAAGCCATTTGTGGGTTTAAGGGTTGTAATCAGCACCTTGGATTGAACCCTGAGGCAGATCATCAACCGATGCAGCTCCCACAAAAGAGGTGACACATGCACAAATCTGGACTTGTGCAGATCTATGCGGGCCCTGCATTTTGAACTAACCAAAGCTTCTGAATCCTCTTCAAGGGCAGCCCCCTGCACAGTGCGTTACAGTAGTCCTAGCAGGAGGTGACTAGGATGGGTAACAGTGAGAACAGCATGTTGGTCCAGGAATGGGTGTGACTGATACACAATTGGTAGTTGTGCAAAGGCCCTCCTGGACATGACTGCCACGTGCCCCTTGAGGAGGACTTGTGAGTCCAGGAGAACCCCCAGATTGTGCACTGGGTCGATCTGGGGCAATGCCATCCCATCCACAAGCAAAGATAGTAATTCTCTGAGAACCAATGAGCCCTAAATCCAAAGCCACTCTGTCTTGCCAGGGTTGAACAGGTTCAACAGGTTGCTCCCCATCCAGACCTCAAGAGCCTCTGGGCACTGTGAAAGGGCAATCATGGCATCACTTAACCCACCATGGGCAGAGATGCATAACTGAGTATCATCAGCATATTGATATCTCAACCCATGTGACAGATGATCTTATCCAGTGGCTTCATGTAGATGTTAAACTGGAGTGGAGAAAGCACTGACCCCTGCGGGACCCTGCAAATCAGGGGCCATGGGTCGGACCTCTCGCTCCCGACCAACACTGATTGAAAATGGCCTCGGAGGAAGAAAGTGAACCAAGACAGCACAGTGCCCTCCATTCCCAACCCCTGGAGTGCTCCAGAAGGATACAATGTTCGATGGTATCGAAAGCCACGGAGAGGTCAAGTAGACAAAGGTTAGATGCACTGTCCCCATCCCACTCCCACCAAATAACATTAAAAACCTTGACCAATGCTATTTCCATCCCATAACCAGGCCTGAATCCTGAAAGGGGTCCAGATAATCCATTTCATCTATGATCCTCTGGAGCTTCAGTGCAACAACCTGTTCAACAACCTTCCCCAAGAAGGGGAGGTTGGAGACAGAACAAAATTTGTCCATCAGGGTGGGGTCTAGCAATGGCTTCTTAAGAAGGGGGCAGAGCACAGCCTCATTGAAGGGCTATGACACCACCCCCTCACTCAAGGATGCATTAAATGCTGCCATTACCCACCCACTCATCACCTCCCAAGAGGCCTTTACCAGCCAGGTGGGGCACGGGTCTAAAACACAGGTGGTTATGCTCACACTCCCTAGGATCCTGTCCACTCCCTTGAGAGAAACAAGATGAAACCATTCCCATTTAACCAGGCAAGAGCCTGCCCCAGGCACCTCCACTAGACCAACAAGAACATTTAAAAAGGGTGTGACCACTATTTCTAGTGGGCTCCTGGATGACCTGGGATAGGCCCATGCCACACTTGATAGCCAGCTGGGCATATTTCATAGAGGAACTCCTCCCTCTGGCCCCAGCCAAGAGTCAGTGACATATGCCAGATCAGTCTTCTCTGTGATGGTCATATCAGCAATAAGGGGGGCCTTATTACACGTTCATCTGGCATTTAAAGCAACACCCTAAGACCCAAGCTTCTGTTGATCTGCTGACAAGGTAAATAGGTTGAGGTCAGGGGACTGGAACACCAAACTGGTATAAGATGTTGAGGTTCCATTCCCTGTGAGCACTGCACCCCCTCCCCCATATTTCCCCATATCCGACACCACCAAAACACCATATTTCCCATATCCAACACCACCGAAACCCAATGCCCTGCCCCCTTCACCCACCAATCTCTCCATCCCCCATCCTTAACCTCTCCTCTCACTCTAAGGGAACCCCCCACCAACACCAGGGGTAGAGGTAAAACCCAACTGTGCCAAAAGAGTAGTTCTCAGCACCTTGGGTCACCACACCCTCCACACGCACACCATATCCTACAGGAGCACCTCCTACCCAGTTGCTCTCATCCACCCAGCAGGGAGCCGCTCCACCAGCCCTTCCCTCCAGCTCTCACACAGAGGAGAGGGTCTAATCACATTCCTGTCACCTTCTTCCACCACTCCACCACCCCAGATCCCCATTAAACCTCCTCACAGGACAAAATCATGGTATTGAAAACAAAGCAGTTTGAGATTAGCTTCATCTATGGATGATAAAATGATGTTATCCTGCAAAATCTCCAGCAGCAAGAGAAGGAAACACATCTCGCAAAAGTTGCTGCAGCTGCCAGCCAATCACCACATGATGCAAAGTCATTCAGATGCCGCCTCTGCTGTCTTCACCAGCTCCAAATGTCTATAGTTTCCAATGTCCAAAAATCAGATGGAAAGTCCAGCCAGCAGCCTACCATTCCCCACACCAGTAGGTCCAGCTGCCCCCCTCAGTGGAGGCCAGGGGAGCTCTTCTTCCCCACTACCTCTGTCGCCTCTATCGCCATCACGCAGCCAGCACCACCTTAAAACAGCCACAGCTTCACTCCGGCTCCTGGACACCAGCCACTCTGAATCGCTAATGCCCAGAGCGTGCTAAGGTAATACTTGTGGGATTCGCAATAGGGGGGGGGGGTACTAAGATAGCTTTGCATTGGAACTAAAGAAATGTTGTAGGTATAGAAACTTTAAACCAACTCTTTCAGTTTAGTAGTTTATATTCATAGCACATCCAAAAGAAAACTTTAGTCTGATGCTGCTTAATAGCTTAATCTAAGTTTTTTTTTTTTTTTTAAGCATTTAGTTGCATGGATCAGTGGCTAAATGATTTCATAAAAATTGAAAAATGAGACAGACCTGGTTAAATATGTGGGGCCAAACAGCATCCTTGGCAGAAATGGTGAGAAGATTGTTTGGGGGAGCTGTGGGGTTGATCTTTCCAACTTGGACTCTCAGAAAGGACTGGTTTGGGAATGTGACCCAACTGAAAATATCAAATCCAGTTTCTAATTCGCCTTTTGGGTTAAAAGAAACCTGTTCTCCAGCACTGTTGTTAAAGGAGACTTGCTGCAAAAAGTGATGGAGCTGAATGAAGAAACAAAGAAATAGAAATATTAACTGGATTCCTTGAATGATAAAGACAAATTTCAGTTCTTTCAGTTTGGCCTATGCTCAATGGAAAGTAAAATTTTGCATCAATCTACACTATAAAAAATCAGAAAAGAAGTGTGTCCCCAGTCACATGCATTTTCTCCCTTATCACCTAATTAAATATTTCAGTTGAAAATTTTCCAGATGAGACTTCAATCACAAAATTAAGAAAGGGAGAAATCCAACAGATCACCTTTCTCAGATCAGTTGAGCAATCCAATTCTGTTTACGTGACCAGGTTACATTCCTGAATTTTGCATTAGTGAATATTACCTGCCATGGTGATCGAACGAAGAAATTCAATCTGTTCTTATCAATTATTTGACCCCCTTTGAGTTTGGAGGAGTGCATGGCCCTCAGAGCATGTTCCACAGCATAGACTGCATTGTAGATGCTGTAACTGATTCCACTCATGGTGGTCTCAAAGACAGAATTAGGAAGAGTCTCTAGCTTCTCTTCTCCAGTGCAGATCCTTTCAGCATTCCCGTCTATCATCTCACTTGAAAATGAGCATTCAAATGCATCTTTCCAGAAATCCCTAATAAAGCCATCTTCTTTTTCAAAGTTTGGGTTTCTCTTCTGCATAAATTGTTGGAATCCTGTCAGCTCTTTTGAGTGTATTGCAAAGGACAGAGCACCATGGAGAAAATCAATGGGCAACTGTCTTTGCATAAGAATGGAGGTGAATTCCATCTGGGCTGTCATGATCCAAACTTTGGCTTTTCTCTCCTTTGGAGTATCATCAGAATCTAAAATATAAATCATTACTCTCAAAGTCACCACGCCTGTAATTTCAGTATTCAAGATCACTGCAATGACTGTACTCCCCATGATGACTTTGTATAATTTATCTGCCTCCTCCACCATTTCAGCAGCTTGATTTCCATACATCGTTTGGGGGATACATTGTATAAAGTCAAAGCAGATTCCTCTCTCTGTAAACATGGAAAGACTCTTTTGAATGAACCTCTCTCTATCTTCCTCATACAGAGAAACCAACCCCACCCAGGTCCATCCAAAATGCAATAGTAAGTGCAGTATTCCTTGAAGCTGATACAGCTCACCTGGGAACATCCATTTGACAAAATGTGCTGCTGCTTCATTATTCATTAATGGAGCTGATCCATATGTGATCTAAATAGGGAAAAAATAGAAGAATACAAGCAAAGAGGTATATTTCAAACGAAAAATGTGCAACATTCATTTTTGTTTTTTGGCACCCTTGCTTAATTTTTGAAGACAGTCCCCAAGACTTAGTATATGCCAACTTTCTGGTTTGGGTAGAAAGGGCATAAGAGCCTTCCTTATCAGTTGACCAACTTAGCATCAGGAAGTTTCATACTGTGTTAAAGAACGGTAGTCATGGTGATCTGCCATGTAGGTCAATAATTGGTTGTATTCTTGCCATTTGTTATGGGATACTTTGGGGAAGAGTTGTCATGAGGACTCAATATCTGAAAGTAATAAAAAGCTCATGAACTTCCCATCTTGCTCCATTTTTGTGTCTCACCTGGGGAAATTTGTAGTTGCACAGAATGGTTGCCATGTTGAGACAGGTCTGAGAACGGGGTCCTCCAATGACAGCCACTGTGGTGGTCTGGTCATTACACTTGTAGTTGGGGATAAATTTATCTTTTGTAGATAGAAACTCCATTGTTAAAAGATAAGTTGAACTTTCCTCCAGATGGTCGGTAGCGATGTGGAAACCCAGGCTAATATTGGGTAAAATCTCAGAATGTTCATTGGTCTCCTGTACAGCAAATGCCAGAGCCAACATGTGTTGGTAATTATGAGTGAGGAACCTTCAGTGAGAATTATAAACTATGTCAATGTATTTCTGGTGCAGAATCCGACATTTGCTATCTTTAATTGTGATATGTATTCACACACACAGAAAATGTAGTACTTATTGTTTACTTTAGACACCTGGAATTTATTTATTTATTTATTTATGTATTTATTTTTCAAATTTCAAACAAAAAGTGACTCTGGGTGGAATATTGGCCTTTAGCAAACAATAGCCCTAGATTATATGGATTGCAAAGCACTGATGTGGCAGGGGGTGGGGGATACCTAACATTGAGCTGAGACAGCTTTTGTAGCCTGGTCTTTCCTTTCATTAAGATTCTTCTTCTAGAAAATTGTAAAATTCATGGTGAGATTTCTCTTCCAGGATTAATTTGTATGTTTGCAATAACATTCCAATTCAGAGTAACAAAAGGGGAGGATTTGTATGATTTCAAACTTATGGACACAACATTCTGGAATTAAATTTAACATTTGGGCCTTGTATCCTGTAAAAAGGGTAATTCAGTTCCATTGTCCCACAGACTGCTTCATTCCCTGGTTAAATGAAAGGGAGAAAAAACCAGAAAATTCTAAGATAGTTTTTCTATTTTCATGACAACGCCATAGCCTAGATTAGTCATATTTTTCCCCTCATGAAGCAGAGGACTGTGAATATTCCTGAGGAAAAATAACCGATGTAGTATTATGAGTGAAAAGAAGGATACTTGCCTCATTTGAGTCTCTACTATTAGGGGACAATATGTTTCTCTGAGCTCTAGAATTTAGACATGACTAAGGGCCTTTGCAATCAGTAATAGAGTAACCATTTTACATTTGAGCAGAAAAGGAAAGTAGAAGAAAGAAAGAAAGAAAGAAAGAAAGAAAGAAAGAAAGAAAGAAAGAAAGAAAGAAAGA